TGGCACTCTACCCAGGAGGATAGCTTGAGGCTCCGTCTCAAAAAAAAAAACTAAGATCTATCTTTCTAAGATTACTTTACTCTAAGACTCTCTCTCCTGCTAAACTAGATAGCCCTCAGGCACCTAACAGAAATTGTTCCTGAGCAAGGTAGTTTAGCGGTCCACATCTTGAACCTAGTTAAGCCAGGCAGAGACCTGGACAGTCCTCAGCCCTGACAAGCAGTGGCAGCGGTGAGCTGTGACAGTATTCAATATTAGTATAAAATAGGCTTGGCATCTGTAGCTCAGCGACTAAGGCACCAGCCACATACACCAGAGCTGGCGGGTTCAAATCCAGCCCAGGCCTGCCAAACAACAATGACAACTAAAACCAAAAAATAGCCAGCATTGTGGTGGGCACCTGTAATCCCAGCTACTTGGGAGGCTGAGACAAGAGAATCACTTAAGCCCAAGAGTTTGAGGTTGCGGAGAGCTGTGACGCTACAGCACTCTACTGAGGGCAACATAGTGAGACTCTGCCTCAAAAAATATATATATTACCATGAAATCAATATGTAACAACCTGCGCATTCAGATGAATGGTAAAACATAACTATAGTCCAAAAAGTAGAAGGGGAGAGAAAGGAGGGGAGGAGAAAGGAGAGAGGAGGGAGGGTATTTGGGGACACCTGACCTAATGTGTATGATGCAATGGTACATTTCAAAACTATTAAGAAAAGAGTATAACTGTCTTACCACAACAAATGAGATGATGGATGTGTTAATCAGTTCAACGTAAGCATTTCACAATGTATATCAAATCAGTACACTGAACCCCATAAATGCATCAATGTATACTGTTATGACTTAATAAAAAATAAAGAAGATAGGATAAAAGTTATAAGCTTCTATTAACCATTTGCACAAAGTACACGGAAATGAAAAACTATAAAGACCTTAAAATATGGTGGCATCTGTGGTTCAGTGAGTAGGGCATCCACCCCATATACTGAGGGTGGCAGGTTCAAACCCGGCCCAGGCCAAACTGCAACAAAAAAAAATAGCTGGGCATCGTGGCAGGCACCTGTAGTCCCAGCTACTCAGGAGGCTGAGGCAGGAGAATTGCCTAAGTCCAGGAGTTGGAGATTGCTGTGAGCTGTCATGGCACAGCACTCTACTGAGGGGAGATAAAGTGAGACTCTGTATCTAAAAAAATAAATAAAAAAGACCTTAAAATATGTCAAGCACTATACATCAGTAAGGCCTTAATGTGACAACAACTCTTTCTTTCAACAATGTAATGGTGATGTTCACTATATGCGTGTCTGCTGGGGTAGGGGTAAAAAGAAGGATGAATAAGTCACTAATGAATTAGGTACAGACTCCTGTAACTTTATAATGCTATTTTCAAAATCAGTCCATAAAGACAGTGTTTACCATCTTTTAAATTTAATGGCATAGCAGGTTCCTGAATATACAGTGGGGCTCTAAAACTATTGCAGGGTAAAATTCCTGGCACACCATTTCCCCCTACTTATGGAAAGAATAGTTTTGTTCCTTCTTACCTGTTGTACTTTGTGAATTCTTGTAACAAGTTCATCAGCAGAAATACTTCCTGCTATTACTTCCAATGGAATTCCACTGTCTCCAATAAAGAAACTGGATGGAACACATACTACAGGATCTGTACAGTTTAATTAAGTCTAATAGTTAACATGAAACAAAAGGATATTACGAAACTATGGATAATAAAGCAAATTATCTTTGTGAGTTTTACAATATAACCTGTTCACATGTTAAAAAAATAATTTCAACTACCATATCATACATGCAGTGTATTTGATTAGTAAAATGATTTATTTGTATAGCATATTTAGGTGAAGACCATCTATTATATTCTCCTCTATCCTGTTTCTCTTATATCCATCATGCTACCAAGCTGACTCCTGCCAGATACTAACATTCCAACCAAACCGTTACATATTGCTTTTCAAATGCTCACATTTTAAAAACTCCCTATTCTTCCATTAGCTACAATGTATTATCTCAAAGGACACTTAGTAATATGAAGTTTCCATAAATAAGAATGCATGATTTCCTAAGTAAAAGTGAATAATTTCTAAATTTATTGAATTAACCAAAATAAAGCTAAATACATAAGTAAATGTATAGACATAAAAGCAATTCTTCATTTAAAGGATACAGATTTGTGAAAACTGTAGGCAGGCTTCACTATAAAACAAAAATAAAAAAGAAAATCACCAGATAAGTGCAACTATTTTCCAAATACTAAGTTTTTATAAAATTTATCATACTGATCACACAAGTGTTTTTCTGAAATTATCATTTTCTTTCATATCAATCAGATGGGGGGATGAGTGTAATTCTTATTTCACAAGACTTTTTTTAGTTTATTTTCTAATTTTAAGATTAAAGAACCACTTGCTCTTAAAACTCAAGAGCGGGCTCGGCGCCTGTGGCTCAAGTGGCTAAGATGCCAGCCACATACACCTAAGGTGGCGGGTTTGAATCCAGCCAGGGCCCACCAAATGACGACGGCTGCAACCAAAAAATAGCCGGGTGTTGTGGCAGGCACGTGTGGTCCCAGCTACTTGGGAGGCTGAGGCAGAAGACTCGCTTGAGCCCAGGAGTTGGAGGTTGCTGTGAGCTTTGAGTCATGGCACTCTACCCAGGGGGACAGCTTGAGGCTCTGTCTCAAAAAAAAAACTTCAAGAGCGAACTGGTGCCTGTTGCTTTCCTCACAGCAAGTACACTGAATACAGTATCCTAACCTGAAATAAGATTAATGTCTAAGACTGACTTATACTTGTGATGATATATAATAAAAAAAGATTAAAAACTGGCCAGGTGTAAGTGGCTCATGCCTAGAGTCCCAGCACTTTGGGAGGCTGAGGTAGGAGGATCACTTGAGTCCAGGAGTTTGAGAACAGTCTGGGCAACACTGTAAAACCCTGTCTCTACAAAAAAATTTTAAAAAATTAGCTGGGACTACAGGAGGTTGAAGCAGGAGAATCACTTAAGCCCAGAAGTTTTAGATTGGTGTGAGCTATGATGATGTTACTATACTCTAGCCCAGGCAACAAAGCAAGATCCTGTCTTAAAAATAAGAACAAAAGGATTCAAACAATCTAAATATCCACCAGTAAAAATTGAAACATTATGCTAGGGGTCCTCAAACTTTTTAAACAGGGGACCAGTTCACTGTCCCCTGGGACAAGTCGGCTCATAAGCAGGACAAGAAGCAGCAGCAAAAACACCTGGAGGGCTGGATAAATGTCCTAGGTGGGCCGCAGTTGGAGGACGCCTGCATTATGCAATCGTAACAAGAAAAAAGATACAAGCCAGGCATAGTGGCTCATGCCTGTAATTCCAGCACTCTGGGAGGCCAAGGCGGGTAGATTACCTGAGCTCACAAGTTCAAGACCAGCCTGAGCCGGAGTAAGACCCCGCCTCTAAAAATAGCCGGGCATTGTGGCCAATACCTGTAGTCCCAACTACTCAGGAAGCTAAGACAAGAGGATCGCTTGAGCCCAAGAGTTTGAGGTTGCTGTAAGCTATGACGCCATAATACTCTACCAAGGGCAACAATGCGAGACTGTGTCTCAAAAAAAAAAAA